AGGCTATGGACGCAGTGACCATGCATGTCGGACAAACCATGCCGGCGTCCATGTGCATGCGACAGGCGACCCCAGTGCCAGTGCAAGTTGGACAAACTGTGCCGGCATCTATGCCAATGCCGCAGACAGCCCCCATGCACGGTATGGACGCAGTGACCATGCAGGTCGGACAAGCCATGACTGTGCCGGCATCTATGCACATGCCGCAGACAGCCCCCATGCACGCTATGGACGCAGTGGCCATGCAAGTCGGACACACCATGCCGGCATCCATGTCCATGCCCCAGTCAGCCCCGATGCATGCAGTGGATACCTTGCCAGTGCCTCTGCAAGCAGCCCAGACCATGCCAGCTGTCCTCTCTGCTGGCCTGCAGCCCATCCAAGCCTCTCGACCCGCTTCCAAGGAGACAACTCAGGCCAGATTCGTTGATGTGGGAATTTCCCCAAATCAGGGGTCCATACTAGGGTTCCCCTCATACATGGGGATCGCACAGGGATTACTCCGGGTCGTGTAGTGCTGATTCATCAACCTTGACCTTGACTGACCCTCGAACCTGAAACGCTCATCCCAAAACCTAAAAATCTAGCCAGACCTCCCAAATACCTAAAAGAAAAGCCCTCACCCCAAAATAATTGAAGGTCTAGGGAGACCTTTAGCCTCAAACCCTACCCCTTTCGTTGGCTGATAAGTGCAACAAGGGTTTCAGAGGTGACCCATGGCCGTGCACTTGCATGGGCCCTTGTAGGCTTTCTCACACATTTTTTTGCTTTATTGATAGGTTGTTCAAGCCAGCAATGCATTTCTTAGAAGCAATGCGGATCTGCGAACACATTGAATCTTGGTTCGCCTTGGGACCTCATCACACCACAGTATGGTTGTTTCCTAGCAAAAGGTGGGCCCTGGTGGACTAGCCGACTAGCCGGAATATGCCGGAATAATTGCGAATAACATGCGTTTGTCTCGAGAGTAGAGTCCCCTTGAAGTAGATAGACTATAGGATGTTTGGGGATGGTATGATGGTTTTTGGGGAAACCCACATTCTATACTTAAGGGGTGATAGATTCGGGCTTTTGGCGTCCCTGTTCTCGTTCTGATGTCACATTGACCTTCACTAGGTCATTACGAGGGCTCTCCGATAGAAAGCTCCAAGTGGATGTCTTGCAGCAAAATAAAACAAACAGAAGCAGCGCAGTGATCCACATTCCAAGACGTTGCGTTGCAGGTCGTGAACGTCGGGCAAGCTTCGGCCGGCACACAGCTTCAGATTGAGAAGGCCCGCACATCCAAGAGGCAGAACTTGGCGGTGCAGAAGCGGATCAACAAAGACCTCGTCGTTGCCGGCAAGAAAAATGGCCTCGAGGTCCTGAAAGTCGCCACGAAGAACTTGGACACGATGAATGGAGTGAACCTGGCCACAGCCTTCCACCGCATCGCCAAGAGCACCACCGACGAGGTCGAGGCGGTGTCGGGCTCCAGTGCCTTCACCAGCATGCTCGTCGCAGCCGAGCGCTACGCGGAGCAGGAGCTAACTCACCGGGATGGTTCTTTGCCGGCCAATTGCTGCACCATCATCGCAT